CGGTGATTGCACGGGCAATCAAATCTGCCGATTAGAAAAACGACAAGGTCGTTGCATAGCGTTTCCGTTGAAAGGTGTCGTTTACCTTGCTTCGAAACGAGGATACGCGGTATGTGTCGAGTGTCAATCGCGCGAGGCTATGTTTTGCCGTTCTGCCCGAAGCGACTGGCAACGATAAGCCCGCGATACCGAGTCTATTTTCAGAGCGTCAATGAATCAACGGAGCGAAACGCTTAGATTCGCCGCGAAACTCATGGAAGTTTCGTTGAAATTTAGTTTCAGCGTGGAAAAAAGGGTAATCGCGATGTTTGAAACCCCGAAAGTGCATCAGGATGCATTCTTCGAGACGAGCTGCAGTTTCATGGGGCTTTATGAATTCCTGTTAAAGAGGTCCCCCTCGTTACGAGACGCTCTACGCAGCATATGGGCGACTTCCATTCCACTCCACTGCCCTTCCTTCGACCTCTCTCCCCGATTTTTTACATTTTACGCTCGATACGCCAGATTAACCGGTGAATTTTTGTGCTCGAACCTGGGGTGGATTTCCTCTTCTTCGAATTCCTGGTTGTTAACTTCTCCATTAGGATCGCTATGGCTTCTGTTAGAGGGAGATGTTAATTCTTCACGTATGTATCACGTTTTCCCTTGCAATCGATGCGTAACACTGGGGCCCCCTAATTATTCGTTTCTAAGGAACATCCCAGCGCGAGGCGTACGAAAGCTATATATAGAATGCTCGTAAAATGAGCAGCCAAAATTTTAGACTATTTTTCGTAATTATTTAGAAGTTTGCCCTCCTCACCGATTTTCGTGATATTGAAATATGTTGTCAAGGTCATCATTCTGAACAACATTTCCCTATACATGTTATCGTCACTCGGCCTTAGTTTTCGAGATATTCGTAAAAAACTGTAGTTATACTTATGTCACCAGTACACTGTACTCCGAGAAAAATGGAGATTGGATGGCTATTGAAAGAGTGATTGAAGTGGTTTGAGGTTATATTTTCTGGTGGAAATTCTGCTTGAGATGGTTTCACATCACCATCTTAGCATCTCAAGTAGAATCTCATCTATTATACCAAACCATAACTTACTCCAATTACTTCGTCTTTCACCTTTTATATATTATATACCTGTTATCCATTTTGTGTTTCATCAGAAATCGAAAACATTTCGGCCATCATGTCGAATAATGCCATTATACGCTCATTAACATCATGTTGACATCAAAATAAAACTTTATACAATTCGTTCTAGCATGAATTACTTTTCGTTCGATTAAAAACTCTAACAATTTATCGTAATCATTTCACAGAGTTGACAACATATTTCAAGGTCACGAAAATCTGTGAGGAGGGCAAACTTCTAATTACCACTTTTTCAACTAAAGATTATACTCTGTCGTATTGAAATTTCATACAGCGAAAGTTTTCCTGAAAAATACAAGTTTGACTGTTTTGCTCGATAATATTATCACACTGTTTCTTGCACGTGTTGTATCGAAATGGTCTCGAGCGCGTCCACGGATCGTCCAAAAGAAGGGACACTTTTAACCCGAGCAAACACCTCATTCGAACAGAAATATCTCGACGCGTATTTCGGTTCTACGGCTGGAAGATATTGATGTCCCGTAACGGGGTGGCATCTCATCTTTCCCGAGTAGCTCCTGACGAGCCGCAGGCCTCCGTTTGACACTTGCGCGCGGTCCTCAGCCCGTTTTTTCCACCGTCTTCCGCATTATTTTCTCTTTCATTAGCCGCCCGCCGCGGGGAAAACGCGCTGTCGATTGACCGCCGTTCCGAAACGGTTCTTCTGCCAGCGATCCCGAACCCGTCATTCGCGTCTCTCGTGCGCTAGGAATGCAAGACCTGGTACCGTTACACGAATTTCTTGGACAACGGACACGTTTCGGATGTTCGTGGTTCAGAAAAACGTCAGATTCCACGGATGGTTCCCAAGATTCGCCGACGATAAACGATTCCCACAGATTTCGGGAATGCTTTCGCCCCGATATGGATCGCAAATTTCGTTTCCACGCGCAACTTAACGTTTCTTTTGCGTCGAATCAACATCCCAACAGCTGTTTGAAGCGGTATCAATCCTTTAAGGGCACAGATGCATGCAAAATATTCTTTCTCCACGAGTAATAAAACTGATCAGATTGATAACGATTCCTGTAACGATTCCATGAGGTTTCCTTCGATCGATCCAGCGCGAGGAATTTGGAATCATCGAATAAGAAACGTCAGCGTTCCTAACCGCGTTCGAGGGACGAGGAAAAAGTCGAACAAAGATTCTCGGAGGAAAGGCACCTGGGAATTTCGCGCGAACCGCATTGATGTTCGCGAGTAAGCGTATCGGAATTCGTTCGATGAATCAGAGATCGCGGGCAGCGCCTACGCGCCGGTCGATCTTTTCCGCGGGGGGGGGGGCGCACGAAAAACGTGTCCGAAACGTATTTTACGGCATCTCGCGTTTACGCGAACGACGCGTACGGTTTGCTTTGCCGGGGCAACAAGCTCGCTGAAACGAAACACAGCCGCCACTATCGATTCCCACTCGTCGTTAAACGCCACCAGGAATTCCACGGGGGAGGCGTGCACCGTAAGAACCCTCGTTGTTTGTTTAACTGTTACGCAAATACGACCAAGGAACCCGGTGTGGCGCCGAAATCGATCGAACTGCTGAACTATACCAGAACGAATTCTATAATGGACGCTACACAGTGCACGGAGACCATTTTGAAAATTAACTGTTATCAAACGTTTGAAATTGTAGATTAAAGTTAAGGTAAATCAATAATAATCGTTTCGAATAACGTTGAAGTGGAAATATTTTCGAGATTAATATATCTATTAGGTCTTCTTATAAGTTCGTGCTGAATTTTGAAATAAAATTTCTTTGATTTTCCATTAAAATGTTAGTCAATACTATTTTCGGTACATTGATATTTTCAAATTATCCATTGAAAAATTTTGAAATATATGAAATAAGCGATGTATGAGACAACTAGATCCAATGATATACGTATCAGATGAAATTGCATATTTGGTTTGCAAATTGCGTTAGTGTCGTATAAACCTTATGAAAGCCAATAAAATTTACTATTACGATAAGTACTTAGCTTTCATGAGCAACGCAAACCTGTGATTTGATCGGACTCATAAATGGACGATTGGCAAATTACTTTCCTCTGAGAAGCCTACGCTCTGTAATTTTCATGGTGAAATCGACTACCTAACGATACAAGTTGCTATCACCATGAGCACGCAGATTTCAAAAGCCTAAACGCTTGTTCTTAGCATCGTCCGTTAGGAAACTTGGAAATTACAGGCACTGTTATATCCTACCTTTGTTGGTTTTAGCCCTGACCTACATTTACATTACTATATTTCTAAATTATATTTTACTAAAATATCCCCCTTCGAAAACTACTTTTCCTAAAAGTCACCAGAAAGCTATCGAAGACGAAGAACGCAAGATCAGTATTCATTCTTACGATGCACTTACGAAAGTTACCGATATGTTTTTATTTGTTAAGGTTCAAATTAAATATTTGAATAAACATAGGGTCCAATAATTGGCACACGACATTCTGATATTCGTAGGGACAAGACCCCATATAATCCCCATTGAAGGTGTTCGATTTAGCCAACTATCCAAGGATTAGTAACATAAAAGGAACATACTGACGCTATAAACGATACACGTTGAAAGGTTAATCCTAGCATTCTCGTCGAAACGTGCCCGTTCAGGGTGGCCGCAGCTTAGCGAAAATCCGAGAGAGGTCAACCGAGTTTCACGAACGTACGTCGAATGATTTCAAACAACTGCGCCATAAAAATCTTTGTTCGAACACGTACAGGACTCGTGGCCATATGGAACACGGTTTGCTACGTACAGTGCAGGTCATTACAGTCGGAAATAAAGCTCAGCTTGCGGCCATAAAATCGGCCTACACGTGTTTGCGGAAGACCGAAGTGGCACTTCCAAATGCATCGTGCAAGAACGAATCTCAGACTCGTCGACAGGTCAGCTTTCGATTGTTTACAATCAGTCGGTTATTTAAATCTCAGTTTACTCTGGGAACTTTAATAGCCACGAATCACCGGCGTTGAAAGTACATCCTTCGTAGCCTTCTAAAGGTTAAAATCAATTTTCATGCGACACCTCCGTATTTAATTTTACAAGCTACCGCTGTGTAAACGCAGCCTCAATCTTGACGCATGGATATACAGCCGCTCGTATACTCGTATGACGTACGCATCTGCGAACGGGGTGATCTGGTGTCTGGTTTATTTTAGGTGCATGCATCCCCTCGTAGTCGGCGTATCTGAAGGGTTGATAGCGTTTTATGCGCCGCGCGTGGCTAACGTCTGTCTCCGAGTTAATTATGGACTAATTGTCAAAACCTCTTGTCGCGTCTGCCCGGTCTTTAACCACATTTTTTTATTATTCTCCCTACGACAACAGGACGCCGTCTTCCTTCCTCTCCTTTTCTTTTCGCGGCGCAGATCCATACGGCGGGACGTACCCTTTCTTGGAACTTGTGCGTTTTCCAACCGGGGTCCGTTCTGAAACGACAAACAGTCGAGGAATGAACCCTTCTATAGGATCACGATCTAATAGACCTCCACGATGGGTTTTTTTCTAATAACTATTGCCTGTCGGTACTGTCTCTATGTACCAGTTCAAAAGTTTCTTTACATTTATGACGAATCACCATTACAATGTACGAATACGAGAGTAACTGTACATATCAACGAATAATCAAAAGTAACGATAAAACAGTATTGATGTGTGCTTGGACGGTGTTCATCGTTCCACTCGGTTCGTCGATGAGTAGGAATGGACCTCGATTCGAACCGCTATTAGGAAGCGATGATAGGCAATCTTTATTTCGCGATTGCGCCGATAAGACTCGGGGGAAGATCGCCGATATTTCGGTTATAACTCGAGTGAACGTATTCGCCCTAATGGCAGCCTTCGATCTTGCAGACGACCATAAAAGTGTACGCGAACTGCCTGCGGCCAGACATCGAGTACAAGACCCTCGGAATCACCTACGAGACAACCTGCCGTGAAGTCGTACAGAACCTATTGAACAAGTATCGCATGAGGCACCGTGACCCCAGGCTGTTCTACCTGACCATGGAGGTCACCGTGAGAAGACCGAACGTGAGGACCGTCCTGCCACTCGACGAGGACGCGAGGCCTGCTGTTTTGCAATCGTGTCATCCTCGCGGCGATTCCAGGTACGATCCACAGCTCCTCCCGCGCGTACTTTTTCACTGCCCCCCCTGGTCGGTTTCGGTCGGCTTCGTGACGTAATTTCAGGGCTTGCGACCGACCGTAAACGCGACTTCTTGTGGGTCGGTGAGCACGAGCCAACGACGAGCAACGTCCTTTCCAGCGATTCCCTTTGTTCTGGGGTTCGAGTCGTCTGGGGCGACCACGCGAGACGCGCATTTATTTATGCTAACATCCATTGGGGGGACTCGTTGACCCGCTTAAGTTTCGAGATTTTCACCTCGACGCCAGAAACACGCACGAACAACACAGAAACTTCTTTCGTACAGGGGACAAGTTTTCTCATATCGCGCGACTAGATCTCGTTTCGTGTAGACACCAACCATTAGGAACCAAATCTAACAAGATTATACCCATGTGGTCCAAATAGCCCGCAAGCTGTTTTCTCAGAAACCTATGATAACATTCAGTTTTTAAAAATTAAATGACCCAGCTGGGTAAAGCATTATCAACCGTAAGTGCATGTTTGTAAATAGAATCAAAATAGCTTTAATTTTTCTGCTTGAAAGTTCGTTGACCTTAACGATCGAACAATGTTTATAAATTTATCTCTTATTTGGAAATATTGAATAGTGTACAGAGAGTAAAGATGCGTTGTAGAATGTAAGGAAGTGTTGGAGACTTCTGTTGCGCGACACGCGAAAGCCCCGATGCCACCAGTGTTTTCTTGGTAGCTCGAAACTTCCGGCGAAGGTATACGTTACGTAGTCGCTGTTTGACTAGAAGCTCGAGCTCCGTGTTTTTACGTGGAAGTAGTGTTCGCCCATTCCCTTTGATCCCACCGACTTCCACGATATCCAGGATTCACGGATGTTTTCTTGTTGCAGATTCTCATTGCAGACACGCCGCGGCGGACTTGTCAAAATATACGACAGCGCTCTCATGTCCGGGGTAAGTCAGGCGTTTAACCTAATATTTCGCTCGATCTAAGCGCAGATTATTTTGCCAATTTACGTACAAAATTGTAGTCAATCAATGATGGAAGTACGATCATTCTACTTACAACATTCTTTCAACAGAACAACATCCTACTCTCCATACTTACATAACTCTATCTAATTATGCTTTACTGCAATTCACCCACTTGTATCTCAATTCTTCGCCTCGTATTTACACTCCAAAATTCGAATTCTTTACGCAAACTTGATAGAAACGTTACAAAGTCCTAAAGTTTTACAAATTTCCATACGTAATGGTTCTTTTGCCGCGTGACAACGGATTTATAATATCCAACTAAATACTGCTTCACGTGCAGGACTATGCAGTACAACCATCGTTTTATTTACGTTTCGAATGACGCATATTTCGAGCAAGAAACGTTAAAAGGAAAACCGCAATAATCAGTGTGTTAATATCAGTTCTTATTCATTTTCAACAACGATGATTGTACACGCGAAGTGACTCAGTACTTAGAAAAACGACACATAATATGTGTCATTTTAGAATAAAGAAAAAGAAATAATTAAGAAATAATAACGACGTCGCTGTCGTTTCTCAGCGATACAGCGTTTGGAACGTGATTATGATTATCGTTTTATGATTTACAGTCGAAGTACAAGAGCCTGTTGGTCTCCGAACAGACCACCGTAGACGAGCTCATCCAGATGCTGTTAAGTTGCTATAGCTCCAAAGAACGCGTCGAGCAGTTCTCTCTCTACGAGGTCTGCGAAGGCGAGGAGTACCAAAGGAAATTGCATCCTGACGACTCACCCCTTAAGGTCACGCAACGATGGACAAGCGCGGACCGCCATCTTCGCATAAGGCGTAATCCTGACTACAATCCTCACAGAAGAAAAGTAAGTTCGACTCGAAGTTAAGCGACCGTAATAATATCAGACACGTTAGCGTCATCAACGGAATTATAGTTTTAAACCTCCGCTACCTAGAAACGATACCGCGACGATCAACTAAAATATATAACGCACGTTCGAATAGAAATGGGTTTTAAACGCGAACGATGATTATTAAAGAGTTGAACGATTCCTGGACAAGCTCTCACGCGTCAAACAAAGGCATTCTTTTACTTGGATGCGCTCCAACATGGCCGAACGTAATTACGCGACGCACACAAACGCGTCTCGCCGTCGTGCGTCGACCATTGTCAAGAATTATTCATCAGTATATAATAGAAAGTCAAATTCGTTACACAATACTCGTGTTCGCAGAGCATGTGGGCGTCAGACTCGAGCATCAGTATGGCGATGTCAAGACTGAACCTTCACGGCAACCATCAGGCCCACTACCACCAGACCCACGACGCAAACAATCATCTGGCGATGTATCAACAGAAGGATCACGCTTCGATCAATAACAACAACATCCACAAGATGGACCAGCACCATCTGTCGTTGGGCTCGCTGAACCAGCAGCCGAGGATCGTCGTGCCCCACGCAACGCAGCTGCCGCAATTGCAGGTACCACGGAAGCAACACCTGCCCCAGAGCGTCCCGTCGACGCCGATCACGTCGAAACACGTCACGGCGTCCTCTTACGCGGACTACGAGAATTACCTGTTTATATAAACCTCGGGTTACGGTCGAATCTCGTGCTAACTCGGTGGAAGCGAGTCCCACGCGATGTATTGCACGTTTATGAGAAGTTGGCTAGTGAGACAACATAGGGGACAGGGGAGTACTTCTTTTGTTTCACCTATCCCCACTTTCGTCGTCGTCTCGACCAATAGGGACAATTCACAGAGCTCTATGCACCAATCAGACCCATATTCCTTTCGCTAGCCAACTTCTGGCGAACGTACAGTACATTGAACAATAACAGCGCGTTGAACAGTATTTAATCCACTCCCAGGAGTTCACCAGGCATTGTACACTTGGAGAGACTTTGGATGAAATTAGGGAAGATGCTTGCGTCGCGATTAGCCCCCGAGGTTTCAGATTATTTATTGCAACGACAGTCCAAATTTTAAAAGATTATCGAATCCGCGAAAGGACTTTCGCGTAGACTGAACCACGTGACTGTGATGGGATCGAAACGGAGAATGCCCCAAATACGTGGATTTTAACATTTACAACTGTTTTTCGTGGAAGCTCTACCATCTGGTTTTTTAATTGCTTCATACATTCCTGGCCAAAGATACACAGAGGACCAATGAAATTCTCTCGTAGTCGCGTGGTTCTGTCTTCGCAAAGTCTTCTAAGCAGAACAGATTCGCGTCGATGTGAAGGAACAAAGAGAATTTACGATTATAGTCAGTAGAGAGAGAAATTGTACCAAAGGTAGCCGTACGAAATGTTAGATATGTAGTGCATTCAGCCGTATATGTGTAAATGTTTTATGTTAAAGAGGTATTTTTAGAGAGTCGAAATACGATCGAGGGTGGATTTACTTTCGATCAGTGACGTTAATCCTCCGGGAGCTGTTTGAACGCAGATTAAAAAAACTATTCAATTCAATCCTTTAAATCCAATTTAGAGGGAACGATTAGAGTATCATTATTCTTTAAATTTTATAAAATGCGGTTCGAAGCGTTCTCGTAGGATTAAAAGCGTGTATTTATGTGCTGCGAGATGCATTTACTCGTAATACACCGCGAAACGCGGATTCTATTATTTATTTATAACATCTGTAAAGTGTCTAAGATAAGAGAGCCTGGAATATTAAGTTATTATCAGAATATTGTATGTAAATCGAATTAAGCGGGATTCGAGTATATTTGTGTAAATAGAATCTAACAAGTGACGAGTATTTAGGTAACTTTCGCAAATACCGCGTGGTTAGTTGCGGACGCAAATGTTAACGATTCCGTATGTCGCGTATCGTTCCTTTTGAATATTCAAAACGAACTAGTTTTCCTGTTTTCGCTGGCATTTAAAGAACATTATATTTTTCTATACTTCATTGTACATAGCGCTCGAACGTCTTCTGCTTCGTTGCCTCGAGTTTCGTTACGGCGAACGTTGGATCCATTGCCAAAGAATCGGTACGATACGTATACAAAACCTGTAGATTCAATCGTGCCGAAAAACGAGGTGGCCAGAAGCGTCTCCATATCGACTAATTTTGATTTCTCTATTGTAATGCAATCATTCGACACGTCGCATCGCTTTGCGACGTCGATGACACAAGAAGGCTATCGCAAGATTCACGCGAACTTATATCAGCAACTGTAACGAGTACAATGAACCTTGTATTATTCTAACGCGACACACCCACGTAGAATGTAAATATTCTTTTGTATCGTCGTTTGTAATTCACAGAAGAAAATATCATTTCACCTGTCTAGATTTAGTCAATTTTCTTCTACCTTAAAACAACGGATCTTACACAGTACGGTATAAAAGTTTTAGGATTTAATTTTTCACCGTTGTTCCAAGAACGTTATTTATCAGAATGCAATAGAATTATGGAAGTTGTTTGAAATTTTCACTAGCCCACTGACGACGATACTAAGTTTTGTTTTCGTATCCTGAAGTGTAATTTGTTTTATATATAATTTGCAAATTTGGTATTGATGGGTAATGTAATTTGTTAAAAAATTAATTTAAAAAAGTTATCCCGCTTCTTGTTGTAAAATAGATAATCTATTCTAGAAATTAAAAAAATTTGAAAAAAATGTTTCAAGCTGTGGAGAAAGACAGCTGAAATAATCGCGATCAAATTCCTATCATTAGCAACTTGCAACGCAATTAGTATTCGTATTTCGCAACGCTACTGCAAACCGAGATGTTTACATGCAACTCTACCCTGGAAAAGCAAAAACAAGAAAAATTCTTATCGTACGCAACTCTAAATGGAACGATACAATCAAAGCAAATTATTTGCAACTTGTAACCGATCGACATGGCCGCCGATAAGGTGACATACGTCCAGGGGCCTAGCGCTATCACTCAACCTGATTTTGTGATATCAACTGCGCAGGCGCAGGAGTCTCCCCCACCAGCGGGCGAGGATTCCAAGCGAGGTGCGTGCCGATTCGAGTACAGATTACTTGTCATCGAGGCCTCGTCAAGCTAAGACGTGGGTAAAACAGTCCTGACATTCGCAAGTAAGCAAACTTTGAATTATGGGTATCAGTTTTCCGGTTGTTCATTCTCTCCTACGACAAGGTTGTGGTATTTAATTTCTCATGTACATTTTTGTTTGCTTATTATATCTTGAGATGACTAGACTGGATCATTATAGGTTTTTTCTTGATTAATTTGTGAAATGAATGGACCAAAGCGCGCGTAGTGTGATGATAAAAATTTTATTTACAAATGCGACAAATGTAGGAATTTTGGGCACCAGTGACGTATCGGAGAGAAACGAGCGGTAACGGTTGGTCGATTATCGATCGCTTTACTTTCAGTTTCCGATTTATCATCCCTCTCTTTCCAAAACCTCTGCACCAGCGTTCGCGCGTGAACGTCTCGACGGCACGTCGTTCTCTCCGTGAGATCACTGATAGAGGAGAGAATCACTGAGATGTAACAATAATAAACTTTACATTAAATACGATTAGAATCTAGCTATTTTTTAAGGGCTATGCGGAGTGTTACAGTAATAGAAATATTCATTTTCCAAGGAGAAAGGGTTCGTTTCGCGGGACACTTGTTTTTATTCGGGGAATAGGGAATGGGTCGTGTCCGGGGGCGGGAGTGGGGGTCGGGGAAATATACTTTTTCGTTTTAAGTTCCAAAGGATAACATCACAGCATTGACATATCAACATCGAAACGATCAGAGCATCGCGCCCTTCGAGAGTGGTCGACGACGAAACAAAGTCGATCCTATTGAAATCTGTCCGCCATTACGGCCGCGATCGAGGATTCCATCGACCGGAAACTAGGACTGTCGGTCGTCGAGTGACTCTCAGGGAGCGCGGTGCCGCGGCCGTAGCACTTTTCATTTTTGCTATAGAACAATTTACAACATCTCGTTAATTAATCGCCTCAATTCCGTCGCCGAATAACCGCAGCTCGCACACACTGAACAGCGAATCGCAATCTCTTCTATTTTCCCTTGTTCACTCGTATATATCTCACACTCTCTGTCTCGCAGCCTCGTTCACGCACATTCGCACCTTTTTCTCATCTCGTTCGTCGTAGTGCTCTTTACAATTAGATAAACCGTTTAATTCGATTAATAGCGATGCGACCGATGCAACTTTCCCGTGTCACTTTGTCGTTACGAACGGCACTACATCTCACGCTCTCTGTTTCACGCTTCATCGATCCTCCTCAAGTGCAACAACAATTAAATAAAACTCGCTCGAGGAAAACGAATAGATCGCTGGTCCCTCGATCGCGGACCACACTCTTCCCGGCACGCGTCCTCTTCCGTTCTTCTTCGTTTTGTTTCGCGATCGAGGCCGATCGCGCGTGGGAATAATAGACAATATACACGGGGGGGGGAAAAAACCTTTGATCCAACGAACCAGCCGCAAATGAAATTTACCGAGAACGGGTCGCGTGCATCGATGCTCGAACCGCGAAAATTCGAACGCGATTCTCGTCCTGCGGCCGATGGAACTTCGTCCTCGGTGGCGACGCCGGTTGATTCGAATCGACGATCGTTCATTGGGACGGCGTTACAGACAGCGAACGTCAACGACGTCCGACCAGAGCCTCCTGTTTCGCGTGAAATTACTATTGTGCGCATTTACAACGCGTATTGCAAGTTCACGCAATATTAATACGCGGTCACATGCGTTTCGATCACTGCCCCTTATTTCAAGCAACACGGATGCGTGGGTAGTGCTTATTTTATGTGTATTTTACGGTTGATCGTATTTCAACGCACTAATTTAATTATTTATTACTTATAAATCTGAATTCAGGATATAATTCAAACTTCCTTCACGAAACTAGGAATGGTTGTAAATAAAGCGTGATTTAAAATATGAAAAATTGAAAGGAAAATTAAGAACTTAAAAAAATACTCATTTTATTATTTTGGAGACGAAAGACAATAAGTTATGGAAATTAAGATACTATTACCTATTCGTGTATCCGTGTCGCGTGAAATAAGCACTGCGGTTTATCAGTGCTCTTTATGGAGATTTTCACGATTTTGCGTGTATAGCAGGCTCTAGACTCGACGTCTCGTTTCGCCGACGATCGAAAATGCAAGAAAATCGTAAATTACGCCGTGCAGCGAAACCGATTACTCGTGATAATTTAAGTTCCGAAAATCGTTCGGCTTTAAATACTCGCCGCATGCAATCGTCTCTTTCTATCTGCCTAATATCGCTCTAAATTCTAATTCTCTAAATGTAACATTTTTTTTGCTTTTAACGGTTATCCTCGTACACTGTATCTGTTCTGGTTACCACTACTCGTTACCGTGATTCGGACAGAAAAACAGGAAACCGATACAGAGCGGGTCGATCTTCTCGCGTCTAGACCAGAGATGGACGCATTCGAACGATTTTCTAAATAAATACACCTGAAATAACGAGTACACCTATTCGGTGTTTAGAACAGTGATACTCAATCGTCTCGACAAAGATTCCTAATATTCGTGGGCTTACAATGGAGATTAGGGCGAGAAAAAGGTATCTGATTGGTAAAGAATACTAATATTCAGTTTCACTGACGAATTAAAAATATATCATTGTTTTAGGTCGAGCGATATATGATATTAACGTGATATATGCTTCCCAAATGTTTTACATATTTAAGATAAAATACATTTTTGAGACATTTATCATTATATTTACGACTTTCTTCTATAAAAATGAAGTAAATTTATGAGCGTATATAAAATTTTACTATTCTCTATTTCCAAAAATGTATTCAACTCATTCTAAATATTCTTTAAATAGTCAAAACTGCTGATAAATCTAAAAATTAATTTATGAACGTCACATTGATATCATATACGCACGACTCACGACAGACATTCAACCGTTCCGATAAAACTTTATATTCGTGGTCCTCGTATTCGTTATTTGTTACCTACGTAAAACAGTATCGAATACTGAAATCGAAGTGTTTCTTATTTGCTATGTTATTGAATATGAAATGTACAGGCAATCGCTAAATATCTGTTTATTCGACACTCGGAGATGAACGCGAATAAAAGTATTCTGTACTCGCACAGCTATGCAATACACACTTAAGTATTTGACTAGACGCAGAAATTACTCGGATATCGTTCGGATACTTTGTTGAATATATTTCGTCCATGTCTGGTCCAGGCCTACGAATAAGACGAAGTCAATCACGATCATCGAGTCAAACCGACAATGGCGTCCGCGCAATCCTAGCGTCGCGTCGCTTCTCTCTTCTCTGTACACATATACTTTCGATACCACATTATATCGCGGCCAACAATATTATTGCGAAAGCCTTAAGGCTCGATACAAGGACAGGCGTTTCGCGATATCTTCTAAGCATACCGAGACGGTCCGCATCGACGAACTCGTTCTCGCGCCGTCCAACAAACGTCGACGTTCCATTTACCTACTCGTACGAACGAATCGACAACGGACGATTTCCGTTCGCCGATGCTTCGTTCTCATTTTGGACCTTCCAACCATACGGGTTTGCGTTCAAAGGAGGGCGTCGGATCGATCGCACAGAACCGTACGCCGCGACGCCGCAAGCAGCCAATCGACTCCCATTTAATTAAAGACCAAATTCGCGCCCCCTATACAATTAATAACACGCGCTCCGTTCGAACGCCCTTAAAGGTTCACCCTCGCTTCCGACCTTCCGACCTCTTGTCTCCCTTCTTCCAGTTTAGTTTCGCCTTCAGACAATCCCATCGTGTTCCCGATTCGACTTTCAGCCTTTCAGCCTCGACTCCACGCGAACGCATCTTCTGTATCCGGCCGTGCTGGTTGATATCATTTCCAATTTTTCTTTCGTTTTGTTTCGTCTCGTTAATCGAAGGGCCCTTACACGTAACAATTCATCGTATAATTCGTTCGATACAACCGTCTGAACGATAACTGACATAACGCCTCTTGTTCTATAAGTCCGATCACCAACCACTGGGACTTAATACCATCAAAGAATCGAATACAATCATCGTTAAATAATTTTTTTTGGGCTTTTTAGGCGTGTAACGATTTTACGTTAGAATAATTACTTCTGTTTAAATGGGTGATTTCCAAACTTTATGGGAACCACCCCGCTAGTGAAAGAGAACATTCGTGCACTCGAGCTAATTAGTTAAACGATACAGAAGAAGTATAATTGGTACGGTTGTACAGTTAGGCTTTGGTGACTAGTGTATCGATAAAAGAGACGAGATTCGTAATTTTCTATATTCAAAATTCATGTACTTTTACTCTTATTTTAAGACTTTGGAAAATACTGGTTTAAACGTTACATCTTTCACTATCTTCTTTCTCTAATAATAAGACTCTCGCTAGAATGCACTACTATACCTCGTGGCGATCAAGTGTATTACTTTTTAGTAGGATTTGTCGTACGACTGTTAAAGTCGATACAACTGTTGTTGTGACTTGTCGTACGACTGATCATACGATAAATTGACGTGTATGGCCTCCGTTAGTTTAGCTTACGAGGGACGTTCGAAAAGTACGTGGTCTTCCGTGTAAATAGCACTTGGTCGAAAATTGAGTTACGTGTTAACATTCAACTGTTTTATTCAAGTTCGTTCCACAACCAAAAAATTTAATCAACGTTGTATATAACGAATAAATCTTTAGACAGTCGCATACATATTTATTCGCTGTGCAAGAGATGATTATTCACTTCAAATAAATCGATATTTCGCTTATTTCTAAATAATCTTGAAACTATTATTCCTTGTTTTTTTTAAATTAAATTTAAAGACAAAAAGAAATGGCAAACGACGCGTTTCTATTCGAGGTTCCGAACGTTTCGAACGTCCCTCGTATTTGTCTAATGTCATCGTTCGAGTTGTCCTTAAGATCGAACATGTTCTACAGCCGTGCCGAGACTTTACTATTCCGAATCCCGTTTTCGATTCAAGCTACGACTGTTCTTTCCTTAATTTCGTTTCTTTAAATCATCGTGCTATTGGACGTTAGAGATTCGAACGCTACTCGATACACCGAAGGAAAGAACGGACCAGAAGCCGCTAAACGTCTAAAAACCGAAGTGATACAAGCCGACAAGTTCACACGCTGTTTTGTCAGCATCAAGTAGCCTACGAGATCGTTTTCTACGGAATATCAAGGACTGAAAAATTGTTCTGTGGAATCGTGTACTGTACTCGTGTGACGGTGTAACATGCCGTGCATACTCGTACTCCGTATCTATGTGACGTGAATGTCTATCGTTGCATATCGCGAGAGACTCTTACAAAATATCGTAAAAAATTTCCGTCGCTGGATTCAGCTAAGATAGCTTCGCTCTTCTCCCATCGATCGCTTCGATTACGTCGGATCCGTGTAGAAAAAAAGTTGTACGCCTACGATTAAAAATCATTTGGCCAGCGATCCGCGACTATGCTCGCGAGGAAACGACCCGACCGATCGAAACGCCTTGCAAACGTGGGCGTCGTTTCCCACCGCGCGGATATCGTCGACCCGACAATAAGTATCGAAGATCGAATGAAAACTGTAGCAATCGCGGCACACTCGCTTCAAATCGCACTCGAACCCCGAGAACTTTCAAACTCGAAAACTCGCTCATACAAGAAGTGGAAGCGTGAGTATCTTTAAGTTCACCAGTGACCGTGTTTGTAAGTATATTTTACCTAGTATTTACAAACGTTGGCTGCAAAAAGGATTTTCACAGTCAGCGACCTGTTGACCTGGACGTCCTCGCGTCCGAGTAAAATCGTTACTCGCGAAAGTATCGCACAAGCTCGTTCCTTCGCTCGAAGATCGCGGAACGGAACCATCATCCGTCCTTCTATCTCTCGTCTTCTTCGTTATTTTTTTATTTTACAAAAATCTCTCCTAAAAGATACGAGCGAAAGTTTCGCCGATCGACAAGCAAGATCGGTAACGCGAACGCCGCGCTAATAAAATTCGTTCGAAGCGTTGCGCGCAAAAAATTCGAAACGCATCGAGGAGCGATCTACGCTCGAACATCGTCTTGAATCGTTAAGGCGACAAAACGTTACAAATGCCCTACGAGGATTCGAGACGCGTAGTATATCTAATCGTAGAGCGAACCAAGCGTCGATCGAATCGTCTTCGATCGAACAATGTTGATGAAAACGCGCTTCCAGAAATTGCGACCAACTCAACGTCGAACGTATTTGTTCAATTGCACGCTTGAGATTCGAGAAGAAATCGAAGAACAAGACTTCCCCCGATTGCTCGATAGAAAAGTTTGCGTAACTTTAACTCGAACGAAACTCGAAAGAAAAAACAAAGGCTTCGTTCGTATCGTGCTACTCTAACGATGCGTAAGCGACCCGCGACAACATCTAAATTCATCAAGATCCACTTTGCGCAACTTCTTTTTTTCGCTTTCGACTACGTCGGCTTTTTGCAGCAAGCCAATCCTATGTCGCGACGAACGACGTGCCCGTGATTAATTCGTTCTATTTAAGAAACAACGACGATGCGTGCGTGCTTGCCTTCCTAAAAAATCAAACGCGAGCGATCGGAACTCGATCTGCGCGTAGAATGATTGCTACGACTGGATTCGTGAACAGGGTTACCATCTTTCAACTTTTGGGGATTGCTAACAAAAACCTGACGATACGTTTACCGATTAATACGAAAGAATTATATAAAATTTTGAAGACTACGAACAAAATGTAGTATGATAAAAAATGAGTAAGAATTCTATATCAATTCGTTCTTATTTTGCGTTAACTTGTAAGTTAATCGGGTGACTTATGGTCAAGCGGATACACCTTGACCAATTTTTGAAACAGCCTGAAATTTCTGCATTCGCCACGGAACAAAAAGTTCTGAATGATATTGGAACTGGTTTTCTTGCAATAAAATCGTGTACGCCACATTATGGCATACGCCGTTTGAGTGAGTTCAACGCGTGGTAAAAACGCCATCACTGACGTCCCGTAAAAAGCTGGAGAAGCAAGGACAGAAAATTGAAAGTGAAGCTTTCGATTGGAAATCGGCAATATGGCAACTCTGTCCATACAACTGGCACGACTGTAACAATTCGATGAATATTTCATGGTCGCAGCATGTTTTCTGGCGCATTAGGAACGTCCACGTCGATCGAGAACGCGAAGTGTTAAATGTAAAAAGAAAAAGAAAAAGACATCGCTCTAATGAATATTCTTAACGAATTAAACGCGAATCCCTGCCGCAGCTGGCAACGCTGCGCTCGCGACAAAACGGAAATTACTCGTTTAAAAGGCTTCTTACAATATTTACACAGTACCTATATCGATCCATCATCTATGGTAGTATCTTTTTGTTCATTTTTCATTTGTCTTTTTACCTCGATTGGAGTTAGTTTCGTCGAGTGATAGAGGTGGAAGTGTCACTGCGTTTACGTACGTATACAATATATATATATATATTTATGTATATATATATCATTATGTATGTATACTATATACACAAAGTGTTCAACGTGTTCTGTGTGTGTGTTTGTCTGCATGTTTGCTTCGGGTGGCTGTGTGTACGTGTACCAATTTTTTTCCCAAATAGACCCTAATAAAATGTATAAACACGTCAGACTCGCGCGGTAATCGTCGACGCGCTACGTCTACGATCGAAAACTTTCAAATATTCATTCGCGATATTAATTAATCTGATCCCAACCCATCGCCACGCACGTTTCATATATATTTTTTTTTTTCCTTGCGTTCGTTCGCGACAAATCGACGAGTCGCGTTAATAATCGCATCTTTACGATTTTTTTTCTTCTACGGAATTTCTCTAGAATTTATCATGCGATCGAATTCTAAGGTATCGACTAGAGGTGGCTTCTCTCTCCTCTCTCTCTCTCTCTCTCTCTCTCTCTCTCTCTCTCTCTCTCTCTCTCTCTCGTTCTCTCTTTCTCTCTTTCTCTCTCTAAGTCGAAGCAAAAAACTATCGCTGTTCTCTCGGCCGAATTAAAAAAATTCTACGCGAGTTCGAGACAAAGTATTGATATTATTAATATTATTTTTCTTTAGTCATTCTCGATTCGTATTTTTTTTTTTTTTTTAATCTTCCCGTTAGCGTGAATGATCGTCTTGAAGACAGATGCCTAATTCACGACTTCTCCCGCCGGTGTAGACAAGCACTGTTCTTACGATTTTCGTGGGGGTGGGTATTGGGGCCCAGAAGGAGTCAGCGCAAAAATTAAGGCCCCAGGGCTCTTTTTCTCTCACATTCTCCCTCATTCACTCTCTCTCCTTCGAAAGTGTGTTTTCTTTTATTTGTTCTCACGTGATTATCTCGTGTCTACTCATCTCGTTCAGCTGGTTCCGCGAATGGAGGTTTATCCTGTGCGTACCGCGTTCGCAAGGACATTCAACGATCGTTTCAACCCGACCATCATTTGCGGAATTCCTGTTGGAAAAAATTCTCGTGAAAGCATCGATGGCTACCGGTTTCTCTGCTTACGACAAATTCGATATTTTAAACTCTGTAAATAAATCGAACGGGAAGCCATTACTCAATTACAATAACGTTGCTAGGTGGGGATATCTATTTTACTAATCGATATTCGAAACGATCGCACCAAACGAACTGATCTAATTCAAACGGTACGAAAATAGAATCTACGAATCGTTGGATGTTACGATGATTTTCATTACTTTGGAAAAATATCGACGCTATTTTAAAGGGGAACACTAATTTGCTACTCTTACGTTTCTCAAAACATGTACACGTAATCGGGAAAGAAATACGTATCGAAAAACGTCCGAGGGGTATCGTACGCAGCGTGCACGCGCATGCAAAACGTAATAATGTTTAAATTATACGTCAATTCATCGTTGTTACTACTGGTTCAACAACGTACAAACAAACGGTCAAATTAACCAGAAGAAAAATATGAAAATCCTTTTGGAGAATTCACATTTTTCCAAAAATAAATCAGATTCAAAGAGTCCTAATGAAAGGTATATACTTTGAACGACGAAATGACTATCCCAACTATGAGACTACTATCGTAAACTTTACATCAAAGAAAGTAGCGTGCACGCTTTCAACGACTATTACAGTCATTGGCGTAAAATGCAGCACAGTTTACGTGAACTGCACGCACCATCCAACGCCTACGACGAAAAGGAAACGGAAAAAAAATTCTTGTAGAGACATTGGTAGCTTACGGTAGCGTATTCGCTACCAAGGACGAACGGGGAAAGAAACAAAACTTTACCAGATATCTTTCGTAGTGTGTTTACTACCGACGACAAAAAAGGAAAAGAAACAAAATTTTGTATAATCTTCGGTAGCGTACGACAGCGTATTAAAATAATCAAAATACCGCCAAATTGTTTTGGTAACGTACGCTAGCATACTCGCCACCGACGACGAAAATAAAACGGAACAAAATTCTGTCGAATATCCGATAACGTGCAGCAGCGTATTCGCCGACTGACGACAAACAAGAAATAGAAAGAAAATTCTATAGAACGTCCGATGGCGTACGGTAGCGTATTCGCCATCGAGGACGAAAAATAATGAAAATATTTCCAGATCTTCGGTAGCATGAGATAGCGTATTCGCTACCGTGTATGCGATGTCTAGCATAACAGCTCGCGCAAGGGTTGCATGATGTGATCCATTCAATCTTCTTACGGGTAGCGACAGGAAAGAAAACCCCACTAACAGACCACAGCGACATATCGCTAAGGTAGCATAAGCATTTTCGTACGTTCAGTAGCGTACCAGGAGGCGACCCCACTAAAGAGCAGTGGTGCGCAGGTGGGGACAGCGCTGTAGCGACAGGCCCCGGGGCCCCAGCTCCTAAATGGCGTTCAATGCACGCGGATCTTGCTGCTGGCGACGCCTCGATGCGCTGCCATAATCGACGCCACCGACGTACGATTCCTCCTCGGTGCCGTAGTCGTGTTCACCGCGATCGCCCCGATCACGATCCATGCGTTCGAGTCTCGATCTTCTTGTTCCCTCGCTCACGTGTCCGCCACTGTACGAGCCCGATCCTAGAGTTCATCAAAATCAAATTGTCATTTCGGGGATTAATCATTTCACGTTCGTCGGGGCTCAATTTCTGTAACGTTCAGGCCCCGAAACCTGGATACCGTTTCGGTTACAGAAATTGAGGTGTGGTTTCAGTTTTGTAAAATTCGAAAGAATCTTGGTTGCTCCGAGTATTGAAATTTTTTTCTGGACACTCCTCCCACCGTCAATTACACTTTTACGTTGTATCGGATTGTTCCTCCGTTTTAGAGATAAATTATAGTACCGGATTGGTGAGAGTAGATGTTCGTTATGGCAGGGGAACCAACCTCTGTAGCCTTCGATTGATTTTTTCCAATTTTGTTCGTGTTAAATTGGTTGGTATGGAATACCCATTTTCTTTTTAGATCTTAAAACACACTGGACGCCTTCACTCTGTTTAAGTACTTTAGTGTCTTTTACAATTGTACGTGTATCGATAAAACGTGTTTCTTTTTGTAATCAAAGAGAGTTGGGCAAGTAATATTCGTAAGATCGAACCGCAACAGTTTCTTAAAGATTAAATACCTTTCGAATTTTAGTCTCTCAGGCTCGACGAAGTAAGCGTACCTTTCGATTTGTACATTTTAAATGAAATTCATTCGATACAAACAAAGTCTTACAACGTTGAACCTGTGAACCACCGAATCTCACTGGTGTCACTCAAAAACTATATTATAAGACAGAATGTTACTCTGATTACAGTTAATTGTCACTGCTAAACGGTAAGGATGAGATCAATCCATCTACGTGTCACATCTAGAAACACTGAAACACCTCACACTAATCACAGTGCATGCAAGCTAGCTATGCAAAAACAAAAATAAAAATTAAGAAAGTAAAAGAGACACGTTGCAAAGACTCCGACGTTCGAGCTACCATTGCGCGGGAGCGCAAGAAATCGAGAAGTAGAAGGGGTTAAAAAAACCGGGGAAATCTTTCTTAGCGAACTTGCTTCGCGTGAAAAAAATGAAAAAATATCAGCGGAACGGGACTCGCGATCAAGGGGGGCAAAAAAACAAGCCAATGTCCCAAAAGAAGGATTTCGAAAATCTGTAAGGCTACACGAACCTGTTCAAAGGCACGTCTAGTATTCTGGTTCGATCCGAAACTTCTGTCCACTCGACTCACGCGACCACACACGTCGTTAATCTCTAACACGTTAAGCTACTCTATCAACCTATTCTATGTGAGAAGGGTTGGTGAAGAGGGCTGGCGAGACAGAAAACAAAACAAAAAGAAAAAAAAGGTACTGTAAAAAAAAATTGTCAAAGAAACATTTAGGGCTGTAATGTAAAACAAGGTTTCAACGAAACAGAAAGATCTCCTGATGGTTGGCGTTTAACGTGAATGAAGTAGGGAGGTTTTTAGGGGTAGTTGAGGAGGGGCAACAAAATTAACCAGTAACATATAAATCCTTCTCTTTGGGCAAGAGAAACAGGTAGGTCCCGTTCACCGGGGCCCATGCACCAAACCCGTCTGTACTTACTACGCGCCCTCATAAAGGAGGTTTCCCTATTACACAGTCTCTAATTCTCTCAATACCATCCCCGTAATAAGAGTTCGGGGGAAGGAGGACTGTACAATTCACCCGGTCTACGCCGTAAAATCTCATCCGCGATGAGGAGGAAGTGGAAGAGGTCGGTCGTTCTAGGCCGACCGTCGTCGTGCGCGAGCTTTCTTAACTCGACTCTTTGGGCTTGCCCTCGTCATCCCGACCATAGATGAATTGGCCCTGTTTTCGGATGACTCCCGTGGCAGCCACCGCCTCCACGGCTTTTACACGTAAACAAAGAGAACATCGGAGTCAGAGCTCGTTGCCGATCGTACGTGGACCCGGCATTCTCGTTTCTTTCCCGTTTTGCTTTCTGACCGATACTTTCTCGTTGGGTTTCCTAGTCGTGTTCCGCGACGCAAGGATATAATAGACGAACGAATGGAAAAGGACGGGTTTATGGATGGAAACTGTCTTCTCTAGGCGCGCGACCGCAACAGCTGTGAAGTTAGTCCTGCGTAGCACGGGAACACGTGTGGATTTAGCGAGCTCGATCCTCAACTGGTAGGCTACGAAGCTAATTATTTATAGCAGTTACATCGTTTAAATACTTTAAAAGATAAGTTTGAGGGGAAAAATAACACTGAAAAGCAAGAGTGACTAAACTGCGTTTGAGTTTTGTGTTCCAATCGTTAATTGCTGATGGTATACGAAATAACCGAGATTCTTTAATTTGTTAAGATAAGAATATAAAACAAATATACAGTTTCATCGAAATATACACGCGTTTCACCTATTTTTCGATTAAATTCATCCTACCAGTCGAGCGTTAGCGAGTCAAGACACGATCAATGATTTCAGGTTTCATCCAGGATACTCTTCGTCCAAGATCGAAAATATATCTTGCAACAACAACATTCAACGAACCGAAATACGCAGATGATGGGCAAATCCACGCGTGTTGGAATAGCAGACAACGCAGCGTGCACGAGATAAGCTTCAGATGAAGTGTTACGGACGACAATCGAGAGATGTGGTAAACGTAGTAGAGACAGTGTAAAACAAGAAGTCTTTTGCTATCGAGAAGTGCGCGGAAAGGATGAGAAAAAAAAAGTGGAGAAGAATGAACAAAGAAAACAAGATGAAAGATGTTTGAAACTAACGAGAGCAAGCGCGCCATTGTCTTGCTGCGGTTGGTACGAGTTTGCGGATCCGTACATTGTCGCTGAAAAGAAATTCAATGTAAAAGGTGACGATTGCTTCCTGCGCGAGTCTTTCACGAGCATTTATTCCCAAGTGTTCTGTTTCCTTTCGCTCGTGTTTCGTCAATTACTCGAAGACTGCCAGTTACAATCTACCAGCTCATGCCAAACGCGATCTATGTACAATTTAGATTCGTACGATCCGAACGGTAGCGAAACAGGGCGCAGTATTTACAGAGGAGAAAAATACGAGAATCGTTCGATAAACAAAGATATTAAACGCGTAAAAGCGAAAGAAACTTCAACAAATTTTGTTCTTGACATTTGGTATCGATATTAACAAAATCCAACATTTATATAACAATTTGAGAATCCAGTTAGGAAGATTCAACTAGAACCAATTGCCTAAAAAAAGTTGTAGCTTCTTTTGTATCTTTTCTTATGAAACAACCTTTTTTTTGCAGTGTGCATAGAAGTAACGTGCAGCACGTCGAACGTATCGTAATAATTTACAGGCCGTGTATAGGTTGCATAGCCACTAGCAGTCTTTCCCGACAGGAATACCTCTACTGTCTAACACGAAATCATGCAACGACTACGTGCAACTAATGATACAAGGAGTAGTGTAGGCGTGTTTCATTACTAGCTTCGAATGTCGCCGACACTCGAGAAATGTCTCGAAACAGCGGATCGATATGTGTGTAAGTCTCACAGGTGAAAAAATCATCCCGAAACGTTGATAAGAATCGTTTCGAAACAAGATTTTGCGATTGTTCAAGCGAGTAACGGAACACAGGCTGCGCGACGGTGAACGTAAAAAGAACATGTGTAGAAATGTTGCGCTCGAGGAAAAGGTTGGGTTACCTCTTGGCTCGTGGCCGTAGTAACTCTCATGATGGGCACCTGAAGGGGCAAGAAGAAAGTGTCGAGTGTTAGTTGACGGAATTGGGGCTCGTTAGAGATTCAAGTGAGCTAGAAAAACTCGACCCAGCGCCAGGCTGAGAGGAGAGGATCGTATTGAGGCTGTGAGAAGGACTAATAATCGCGGACGAGAATAAAAAAAAAAATGTCACGATGTACGTGGTCACGAACACCGAGACAATATTTCGTTGCTCGATTACTGCCAGATACGACTAAGGGACGCGCGCGATCTCTTCGGCGCTTCCGGTCAGTTGCCTCCGACTTGTCTAGAAAAACGTTTCCACGCGACTCTGAATTTCTCGTTACAAAAGTCGCTGTCGGCAATCTTGAACGACCGTTCCCGATCCCGAAGGATTTTTCCAAATACAAATACTCTACCCTGACCGAAAATAACGTCTCGAAGCCTTGGCCACAGTGATAGTTTCGTGATCAGTGTACTGTGCGTCCGCGAAAGGTTGGCTAGGGAGGGGAACGCGGGCTCGATTGGCGCCTAGATCTCCCTCTGGTTCAGAGTTTGGCGAATCCACTGTCCCCTAACCAACTTCTCGTGGACGCGCTATAGGTTCTCCATCAGCGACTCCATTCTCCGCGATAATGAAACCCACGTAGAATATTTGTACTTCGAAACATTCAGCTACGCGATCATCGATGAAAGTGTCCGGGCGTGACCGAGGCGTCAGAACGAACGGAATACCTGATGTTACGCGCGGCGTCAGCGCGTCGACGGGCGCGTCAGGCGCGGGAATAGGACGCGGAACCGTGGCGTGCGTCGGGGGATGCGTTGCCCTCCAATAAGCTTCCAGGTACTCGGCCACGTGCTCGCAAGCCTCCTCCAATTGATTCTCGTCGAGGATCACGTCGAACATTTCCGGCGGACACTGTGCCAGTTTCTCGGCGGCCACCATTTGTACGTTCAGGTGTCTGATCTGCGACTTGCCCCGCGTTTTTATCAACCTTTGGAGCACCTTAGGCGACGAGATCTTCAGATAGACGATCGTGGGCGCTAGGCTGGTCTTCGCTAGCTGCGACGGATGGTTTATAGTATCGCAGTCCAGCACGACCAACTGGAACAGTCAACAGTTAGAACGGACGCTGTTGCACAAACCGTGGACGTTTTACCTGTAGAGTTCTGGCAAGCTCGAAAATTCTTTCGATCTCCGCCTGAACCTCCGCCAGACAGCTGCTCCTGCTGGTCGATCGTTCCATGATCGCTCTTTTCGTTGGATTGTTCAACAAAGATCTCTTCGCTAACGAAATGTCTGCCATTACCCTAGTGATGATTATTCTGAAACCGTGAGGACGATCGTTCGTAGAAAGAGTCTATCGTAGTTACGGTACACAAGGAAGTAATTTAACTCACCTGCCCGCGAATCGATGCTTGAGGAAATCAAACAACGCCTTCTGCATCATGTCGGTGACCTGGTAACCCTTCAGCGATGGACCCACCAGAACGACGGGCCTCATGGATGGTACAACGTCATACGGTGTTGTCGTCTCCTAGAAAAAGTGACGGGGGAATCAGTCTGATCGGTCTAGAGGAGACTCGTTCGCCAGGATCAAGCCCAGGATAGTCTCACTTACGTCGGACTTCGTGAGCACGGAATGCAACATTGAAAACATTGAAAACAGTTAATGGCCACGTTGACTCGATACATGCGACCTACCCTCCTGCACGGCCAAAGACCTTCCCGATCGCATCGCTACGGGCACTCTCTTCGGCTCCCAAAGGCGCTTTGGCCAGGCAGTGTGTTTGGTAACTACGATCGACTTATGCTATCAACAACCATCTACGGGCTAATCTGTTCGGCTACAAGCTAGTCTAACGACACGAGTGAACGTGTAGTTTCGCCAGAGAACACACGTCAAACGGTACTCGTCTCGCGAACGATATAAAAATGGTCCATCGACGACACATAATTCGCCGAGCAGTTACCGATCGATGCTAGAAATATGCTACGTTTACACACTGATAAATAAAGTAAAAAAAAGAAGAAGCGAACAAACAAACAAAGGCCATTTGCTCTTCGCCGGTTCATGGAGCAGTCAGCGAGCCGAAAGAAAAATTGAAAGCAAAACAAGCCTCTTCGGCGTGACAATTATTACATAAACTCCTCCTCGAACGAGTTACGAGTGGCTGAGTGCTCGATGTACTTTTTCAACAAACACACGATGCACGGAGTTTACAGTCGCACGCATACAGTCGCATACTCACAGAAATAAATCTGCTAGTCCTCGCGTGGCCCACGATATTTTCTAGCACCGACAGATAAATTTAGACTCGAAAGCCTCGTCCACGTCGCGAGCTTTATCGCGCGCTCGGAATCTCTGCCAAATTCGCGAAAAATGTTAACCCCTCTGCGATCGATTATCACGAAGCATTGTAATCCAGCGTATGCACAGACCCCTGCCGGACAATTCAAGCAACGTGGACGAAACTTTGCGCATACTTCCAGCTCCCGACTACAGCTAGATCCCACAGAGAAACCCCCAAGCACGTTAGACGAGATGTGCACAACGGATCAAGTAGTCACAGGCACTGCGGACTCTTCGAGATCGTTTACCGGCTTCTTGAAGAAGTTCTTCCGCTTATCCTTAGCTGGTGGTGTCGTCAAGGTCGCCTTGCCGCCGCGCACGTTTCCCACGCTGTCGCTGTCGTCACCTGTCGAGGAAGCACAGTCACCGATTACTCGCGAAACGATCCTTTCCAAGTTGAGCATCGATGAGTGTCCCTCTTTCTCTCAAGGAAACTAGGTGACAAAAGCTCGAAACGCGCGATGCAGTCTAAGAACCTAGGGTACTAATTCGATGCATTGATCCCGAGATCATAGAAGCAACTACCAACGTTCAGACACAGCGGTACTAGGTGTCACGGACTCGCGCGTGTTCATGTGTGTGTTCGTACGTGTGTGTATGCGTCGACTAGCGTGGCGACCAGCGATAGGTGTGCTCGACTAATCCTAGTTGAATTTGATTGAATTGAAAGCGAATGACAATTGCCACTAATATCAAGCGAGTTATTGTATTCGTACGTAGGTCGTCGGTCAATTGCTTTTAAAATTCATCGCAAACATTTACAGGACACCCGTGTGCAATATTTCATTTTTACATTCTTTTGCAAGATCTTTTCTCAACGACCCACCTAACGATAACTTAAACTCCCTATTGTTCTAATACGTTATACCGACCATCGCTAGCGACGGTTCACCTAGCAACTAAAAGGCCAAAAGGGTGGTGAATGGAAACAGAAGCTCGCGAGAGATGCGTGTTGTGAATGGAACGGAAGCTATAGTGTGTTTGAATGTTCAAATACTTGGATCTACAAGCGTGAGTGTTCATCAAGTTTCATTTTCTTTTACTCTGTCTTTTTTCTCTCTCTTTCTCTTTCTCTCTCTCTCTCTCTGTCTCTTATATTTTGCCGCAGAAACGATCTCCTCCGTCTGTTTTCTCTGTCGGGCATCGATCGGTCAAGATGAGAGAATTCCCGAACAGGTAGATACACCGTGGTTTGTCGGGTCGGGGAAAGAAAGAAGGACGTGCTAGGATACCTGGTGTAGGTGGTGTGGAACCACGTGAGGGCATACCACTCTCGCCAAGGTTCCCTGAAGACCCTCCGCGCGCCGAATAGAGACCCTTTGTGCCACGTGCAGCACTCGCCTGCTGCCTCAGGGCTTCCAACTTCACCGGAGATGGGATGAAGCCAACGTCCGAGTTCTCTTTCACCAGCCTACCTATCCACCAGTTGTTGTCGTACTTCTCCTGGGGGGTATCGTGTGTAATGATTACTTCATATTTCGTCCTGGATCTTATTGTTAGTCGAGCGTTGTGCATGCGAACAATGACTAGAAGCAGCGGGCTACTGCTGAATCTTTTGTAGTCTATGGCGTCGTTGCTTGATATCTCGATTGGAACTATCTATCGGTTGGCCGCTCAAAGCCGATTCCCCATTATGAAACATGACACAAATCTTAATTTTAATGAATTTTTATGGCACTTCGATGGGGACAATGCTACTTAAAAGTTTAGAATACCCCACGTATGCATACAAAAAGTAAATAAACCCAATTAATAAAAGGGAACAAACACTGGAGCATGTATATAATTACTAGTAAATGTGAATAAAAATATACGATCATTAGTATAAGACAGAAATAAAATGGCGGGGACACCTTGAGCGGCCAAATGATTCCACTTCTACTAAAATTTCCGATACGTTAGTTTTCTTATTCTTCGCATGCTTAATTCACGCAACAACAGTTCTTTATACTACGAGTGGCAGTTTGTACACTACAAGGTACCTTTACGAAGAACTAGTTTCTCAAATTGAGCGAGTGATCTAATTATTCGAAGCGGTATACGTGGATGTCATTGTACCTAAAGTGGACCAGATAGCCTACAGTGTATAAATATTTCAGCGAAACTATATCCATTTACCTTGATGTGCAGAAAGTCGCGGACTTCGAAGCTGACCGCCGAGCCATGAACTGGCGAATCGTCGTCGACGGATCCATCGTAGCTCACGTTGGTCCGCACTGCGAATGCTACCGGTTTCGTCTGCATAATTCACAACAATGTTTCGTTAACAGCGTTCCAGCGGCACCTATAAAGGGTCGTTCACAAATTACGTCACGCAAAATTGACCTCATTTTAACCCTCTTTCTCCGTAACGTAATGTCGCTCTTGAAAAAAATTACGTGACACATTCTGACCAGCACCCTGTCATTGCAACAGAATTTTCATATCCCAAGTAAAACAAAATTACTTCTTCGAATCAACGCGTTTATTTATTAATTATATTATTTATAGAGCTGGAAAATTGGACGTGGTCCAATATTTCTTTGTAATTTGTGAACGGTCCCCGAGATTCAACGACCTGCCTATTCGCAAATATTGTACGGAACACCGGTGACATGGCAGTGAACATCGCAATCACGTGGCTCGTTTTATCGGCCCCGATTATCGACTTTCCTATTAGGTCACGGTATATAATTCGGTAAAACGCGACGATATCTGCGCGACCATAACCTGCGCATAAAGTAGAAGCCGATGAGATCACGGATGATCGGTACATTGTCAACGCTGTTCACGTGTCAGGTCGGCGCGTCAATAAAGAATAAAAGCGTACCACCTCGATAGGGCGTTCTTCGTGTTTATTACGACGCTTTATGCCTCGAAGGTCGTGTCCCGTGAATCAATATTCATTTATTGTTCGGTTTGGTCGATCGGTCGTGCATACCCGCGAACTTCGGCAGGGATTATTCGTAATTCGGGTGCGATCAGCCGACGCTTCGATTCGTTTCCAAATGGTCGTTTTCACCCCTAAACGTGACCTCCCCTTTCCTCGTCAACGATAAACATCTATACTACGGTCATAAAGGGGACACTGCTTGGGTACAAGCAGGCGCGTAAAAACACACCACGGTGTGGTTAACTCATTGACTGCTAACATGTTTCGAAATCTATATAAAATTTGTTGTGTTCGAATCGAATCAATTATAATCAAGAATCTTATTATTCTAATCATCTAATCACTTGTCATATCATTACGATACCCCAGAAAACTTTATTGTTCAAAAGCTCTTTCTGTCCTAGTTGCAAAAACATATTTTACATTCACATGTTTTTTTTTTGGTACCAGATAATATAATTCACCCAGTGTGTCTTTTAGACCAGAGGTCAGCAAATTACGGTTTCCTGTTACCGCGCGGGTCCGCGAAATAATAATGACTTTTAAGCAAACAGCATAACGGAAACGCGAAATTTGTGTCCCAGTATTCTCAGTATGTATTCTATTAATGCGACGCAGCTATTTCCATTTGTTTGTATATGCATTTACAGCGTCGGGAAAATTCCTAAAATGACCGAGGTTCGTGTAATATTAAGGGTATCGGATCCAGAGAGATAGTGCCCCACTTATACAGTCTATCTACACTGTTATGGTTATTACCATCAGTTACGTCCCCTTTCAACTTCATTCGTTGCTAAGTGACGATCGTTTAGACTCGTTTATATGTAATACAACGCATGATTTGGTATACCGTAGATGCATCAATTTTAATATTTAGGGTGTACCACGAATCGTGGTACAATCGCGTATCTACGAGTCCACGAAACTCGAGGATTCGCGGTAATTGCAAACAACTGGGGATAAAAAGTGCAGGCGCATTGAAATTGTCGAGTGACAATAATACGATCAATGGCTCGAACGTCGCGTATTGATATCAAGGAAACGTACGATCAATGGCAATAATATCACCGCGCCTCGCAGCGCGCGGAATATACAATCGCGTCTATCGTCGGGACAAAGGATCGCGAGACGTCTAATTGGTTTCGCCAGCAGCCTCTGTGTGAAATCTCATTAGTCTGGCGCGCATATTCATTGACACGCTTTTCATTCCCTGGCGGCGACTTTAGTCGTTCGCGAGGCCGGCGTCGGAACCAGCGACGATCCGTTCGAAAGACGCCGATCGATTTACGAAACGCTCATAGGAAAAACAGCGGGCGCCGGAAGGAGAGGAAACTGGAACATGCGAAAGATCAATGACTTACCTTGGCTTTTTCAAGTTGATTGAGGGCCTGCTTCTCCTTCTCGCGACGCAAGCTCTCTTTTTCCTCGTCCAGCGAGAGATCCGAGCTCGGCTGCGAGTAGTTCGAGTCCGCCGAGCCCTGAAACGCGAAACAAACACGTTTAAATTGCGTCCCCAGGCTACGAGAATTATTACTCCGGAATCATAGATCTTCGTTTTGTCCCGATTCCCGTTCGATTTTTGGCAAAATATTGGGTCGCGAGCTAGTAAAGTTCCTGCGGTTTCCTTTCGTTTTAAAAGAATATTTTTGTTATAAATAACTTCCATCGTTCACAGGAACGTCAGTTTTATTCAGATAAAAATCAGAATTTAATTTAAATTACGAATTTTATTTTATATTAGGTGTCACTTGACGAGGTAGCTTTTGTAATAGCTGATATCATAAATTAAGCAGCCTGTTCTTTCCATCGAAATATGAAGACACACAGAATTCGAATTTTCTATTAATAATATGTTACCAAACGTATCTACGTTTTAACTCGTACTCAATTCGAAGCATGTTGTAAGAATTCGAAGCTCAGACGCTGCAGCATATCGTGCAAAGCACTTAGAAGATCCTTCCAGGTCCTCTTACCTGTTCATCGATTATCCTGAACAGGGCAGAACCAACCACCCATGATCTAAAACTCCGGAGTTTACGGTTACGTTACGTATCGCGTTCTTGGAATTTCGCTCGGTGCTAGAAAACACAATGGCACCCGTGAGATTTTTGTCACTAGCTCCAAGAACTGGAAGGAGCTTCTCTGTTTTGTCCGCGAAAGCTTCAGCGAAGTTCTCGAGGGCTTTCGGTGTCGGGGGCCATTAGTTTAAAAAGAGAACTCTCGTCGAGTTCCGAACCGACTACGGTCGGTCCGGCTTTAAACAGTCTTTGCAAACATTTTAAAGCGACAGTTTATACAATCGTTTGTTGTTTGAATCGAAGCAGCCGGCATGGAGATAGGGATTCTCCCAGAGTACGAAATGTGTCGTGGGAGCTAACTGTGGACTTGCTCAAAGAGTTTTTGTACAGTGTTAGTTGCATCGTGCTTAAAAAACCTACGTTTCTCTCGTAGACTCGTTTACAATCTCGTTGATCAGCTTCGGTTATCAAATTATATTATAATTATAAGAAAAGATAAATTTAGTAATTTTCTTACGAGCGTCTCAAACATTTACTGTTTAAACAAAAAGTAACGCTAATTAGAAAGAATGTGTCAGTGAGAAAGAAATTGTTTTCTACGATAAACTAATCTCTACATACACGTTTATGGTATCGATTATTCGAACGTTTCGTATCCCCCAAATTAGAACCACCAAAATTCGATTGTACTTCAAGTTTATTATCGACAGTTATGATTCTGCTCGATGAAAGACTCCGCCAATTCGGCTCTCGTTTCGAGGAATTATCCGCGACAAAAATTAGGATTCTATCTATATGATGGCGTGACGCCATTAGTTGCATCAGCGTACGAAACCTACGGCCAAATATCTCAGGAACACTTTGTATCGTATCTATTGGCAACAATGTGACAACGGAGCAAGATCTCTGGCTCTCGATCAATTTCCATCGTAATTAATTGAATCGATTGCGTTTCTCGAAAGAGATCTTATCGGTGCCCCTCGTAAGCAAGAAATCCACGAGAGCGTGGCGCAATTTGTTACAGTTTTATCGATCCTGACCGGTGACACTGACGTATTGATTTACTTCTCAAAGTCGAAGCTTCCGCCTGTCCCGTAATTAAGTACATAATTAAATGCAAAGGATGGTCGACGTGTATTTCGCGTCCCTCAGACGAACGTTCGATCAGCATTCCAGCGCGTAGCAGAGTGGTTGAATATCCTCGAAAGCAGGCCAAAATGGTAATCTCATTATTTGTAATTTATTTCTGAGTTTATGGGAATTTCCAGTTTAAAATGATGCAAAATGGGATAAATATATTTTCAACGCTTTTGTACGATTTAATTGTGCAAGGTGTTCTGAGATAAGTGCCATTTGATATCATTATTAAGTAATGAGATTCTATGTAGAATTCGATAAGGGGAAAGAATTTGTTTTGATCAAAATTATATCCTGGTCATGACGTGTTTTTTAAATTAAAAATTCAAGTTCCATCCCGTATTATGGAGCAACCTTGACACAGTCCAAAATCACAGGTGAACAGAACCTCTTGATACAGACAATAATCAACGTCTTTGTTACGCTATACCGTGTCTGCATCATAAAATGAAATAATTTATCGTGAGAGCAAACGTTTCTTTCGTTACAAAACAGGTGCAACGATGATTTACCTTCTCGTGTTTCCTTGAGTCGTAGATGTAATTTGATAATCGATACTTTTTATGTATCCCCACAAAAAGTACTCTAATAGTGTTATGTTCCGTGACTTACCCAGTCATTGCATCGTTCCACCACGTTCGAAACCATTCATCCGAATGAATTGTTCACCACCTGTTCCTCTGTGACCTTGAATTGTGTTAGGGTCAGTTCATAATACACGATTAAACTCGTTTTTTTACATAGTTTCGTATTACCAAAACAAATATATAAATTTCTATTTATAAACATGAAATAGTCTTAATATAAACCTCAAAAATTGATTTAAAAATTTCTGTCATCCTATAGGATTCTACTCGATAAGTATATCAAACTAAAAATAAATTAAAAAATTTCAAATCATTCTGGAAAAATTATTTTCAGTTGTAGGGGGCAATTACTATCATTTTTGGTCATTACACATATCCCTAAAATCCTACGTATTTTCGAGAAAAAAATTCGAGTAGGTGCTTAAATTTTTTGGCGAAAAAAAAATTTCAAATCGTTCTTAAAAAATTATTTTTGGTTGCAGGGGTCAATTACAATCATTTTTGGTGAATACACATATCCCTGAAATCCTACTCATTTCCGAGAAAAAAATTCGATTAGGTGCCTAAATTTTTCGGCGGAAAAAAAATTTCAAATCGTTCTAAAAAAATTATTTTTAGTTGCAGGGGTCAATTATTATCATTTTTGGTCATTACACATATCCCTGAAATCCTACGTATTTTCGAGAAAAAAATTCGAATAGATGAACAAATTTTTTGGCGAAAAAAACAATTTCAGATCGTTCTAAAAAAATTATTCTTAGTTGCAGGGGTCAATTATTATCATTTTTGGTCATTACACATATCCCCAAATTCCTACGCACTTTCGAGAAAAAAATTCGAGTAGGTGCTTAAATTTTTCGGCGAAAAAAAATTTCAAATCGTTCTTAAAAAATTATTTTTGGTTGCAGGGGTTAATTACAATCATTTTTAGTGAATACACATACCCTCGAATACCCTCGAAAAATAGTATGTTAAAGAACAATCTCTATTATTCTGATTAATTTTGACAAATGACGTTATTCTGGTTTCCACTTTAAGCGATTAAACTTATGAGCTGTAGTGTATATTTAGAGGTTAGGTGTGGCAAACAGCTGAAGGACGGCAAGAACTAATGCTCTTTTCCACATTGTATTAGATATTATAAAAGATATTAATACATTCAACTTGTGAATATTCTATGACATATCTTGTGGTCTGTGACTGGCATTGAGCATTGTTTCGTGTTTGAATATTTTAATATTTTTGTTTCTAGTTTCTAGAACTTGCTCTGAAAATTGTCCAATTGGTAACAATGCAGAATTATAACACAAAACAAAGCATTCCAATTATCCAGTAAAAAAAAAAACGTAAAAGTATATTCAAAAAGAGAAGACATTTCCCCTTTTAATAAATCGGAAATAAAAATGGTGGAAATCCTAAACTTATACCGATAATTGTATAGCATTTCAAAGCTTGAAGAACCACTTTGAAATTTCTTAATCGGAGTCGAGAAGTCGAATTTGTTTGCGAAAAGATTCACTGATGTTTTTCCACCCTATCGTTCGAGGATTTTTTTTTTGGAGGATGAATTCATTCGGCCGGGGTTCGTAGTCATGCCAACGGCCTTTACTTAATCGTCTTTCTCCCTGCTTTTCTGTGCGTGACTGTGTAAATTTGTCTGTGCGTGTCATCGCGACCTTGCTTTCCCCTCCGGGAATCTTAAGGACAAGGCTTGTTCTAAACAATTGGATGTAATAAATTCTCGTGCGCATGCGCGGATAACGGGAACTTTTATTTCGATATTCGATGTGGCGTTGCAGTTCTCTATTAAAATAATGCAAACTCAAACAATATTTTTTCATAACAAATTTTAGAATTTTCTACCAGACTTTATATACCCGGTGTGGTATAAGTTTATTATCTCGAACAAATTTTTTACATCATTGTTGCTGTTGTTACAATGTTATTGTTAATGTTACGTTATGTATACGTTTATTTATCGATAAATTGATTTTTAATTAAGGATATTGACCGTAATAAGCATGCATAGAGAAGGTAGAACATCGTCTACGTAGGTGATCGAAGCTGAAACGCAGTCAAAACGTAATTACAGACAGAATTTAATTCGAATAACAAATTACTAATAAGGATACGATAAGTATACTGATTTATTCGGTTGAACAGTTATAAAAATAAGTTCTGATTCGTTCAATATGTAAAATTCTATTTATTTTTTATTTAATTTCATTCGTTGTGTAACGTTTCGATCTAGATAAGAAATGGCGGGACGATATAAACGAAGCAATAAAAACGTGATACTTATGAAAAAAAAAACGAGTCCGTAATATGGGCGAAAATAGCTGCAGCAGAGACAATGGAGCATACCAGAAACGCTCGGTTTCACGCTCAAAATGTAAACCAGATCGATTTAGATTGCAACGCAAAGGATCGAGCCGGTGCAGCGATAGCATGCCTCGACGCTTTTATTTCACGCCAGGTTGATTAATGCGAAACTTGTATGACGCGTCGCACCCCACAGAGAGTCCTTTTATAAATCGAGAAAGAGTAGAAGACGCTTCGCAGGCGCCGCGAACTTCCCTCGCAACTGATTTACTTTGTAAGGTTGGCGATTCATTGACGCCCTTTGTGAGAATCGGCCATGTTACAAACATTATCCTCTTAGGGACGCAACCTGTAATCGTGTCACGTGTGAAATAAATAACGTGGTAACCGGGAAACAAAGTTACACGATCGAGAACAAATCGAGTACACCGTAAAAAAAGATGTTTTAGAAGATGAATTCGATGCGACAACTTTGATATTTAAACGTTCGAAAAATCTTTTCAGCAAATTCTCCAACCGGAACGAATATTCTACGGTTTGTTCACACCCGATGCGCTTCATAATATGAGTCTGGTTTCGCTCGATAAGCGTCTGTCCGAATCGTGACTTCTCCTTGTCAGTTACTCCGAGCGAATGAACCGAGATGATTTGAAATTGACTTCGCCAAACCGAGAGGTTGATTGGATCCTTTTATATGTCGTGCTTACGAATACCTCTATCAACATATAACTATATCGATAGTTACCTCGATAGCTACCACGAGGATCAGGTAAATTACTTTTTTGGGGACGTTAAAAATCTCCGCTATTAAAGCGTTAAAATTGCTATCTAAATTATTTTCGTGTGTATTCCCTGTTATTTAAAGGTGTTTCATAACATGCACCTACTATACAGAAATCGGATTGTTATTCTTGGTAATGTCGATAAAAAAAATTTCTATCGTAAAATTGTTCCCAAGAAAATAACTCGTTACAATATCCCATAAAATGATCCATCGACCCTTACAATATTAAAAATAGACTTGGTCGATATCGCCAATGGTTTCGAGGAAAACAACTCGTTACAATATCGTATAAAATGGCCCGTCGACCCTTATAAAATTAAAACAGGATTTCCAAAACAACGACTAGTAACAGTATCGTAGAAAATCGCCCATCGACGCTTATAACGTTGCTTTAACGTAGCAAATAAGTAAATAAAAAGTATTCGGAATAGGCACCCTGTGCGAATACCTGAGTGAATAGCTTGTTGTAGCCAGAATTGTGTTGATTGTATCCAATCATCGCCGGAAACCGCCACCGTCGTCGCCAGGTCCGTTCTTCGAGTGGCTTTTATCCACTTTTCCCGGGTCTTGATACTGTTTACGGCCCAGTTCCGATATCTGAACCGCCACTGAGGCTCGTAGTTGATCCGCTAAGCTCGCGCTTAGCACACGCTACCGCATTGCTTATTCGGATTTTTCTCCTCCCGGTTACTTTGTCACCTTGCCACTCCAAACGGGACCGTCTCTGTTCGAAAGGTTCGCGCGGTTTTGTGCGCCGTTACGCCATGCTGGACGGCGCAATGGCCGCGGGGCAGCAGGACGTCCCCCTCAGGCGCTCTTCCACGACTTTTTGCGCTTCCGTTTGCAAGCCATCCAAATATACGTAGCGATCTACTCCCGGCGTTCGAGTGTCATCGCATCTTGGCGTCCCGGTGCCTCGACTTTCGCGAGCATCGCGGGATCCTTCGTGAAATTAGCCTGCTTCTGAGCGACGACCTCCTTTTGACGACTTTGGGGGACGCTGTTAGGAGACGTTCGATGAAATTTTGCATCGCGGGGAACACTCAAACATCACGGATCGGACGAACGCAGGCAGGATTTAAGATAGACGCGAAGAAATTCATCTTGAAACTCTCATAAAGACACCTAACTTCTCAGAATCTCGAATGTTTTCCAACGACTATTGCGTAGTATTTTATGGAAACGAAAACGAAACTGATGGATCCACCAACGTTCTTTTCGCGATAAGAATCCTGGTAGAGTTCCCCTCTTCTGTTCCTCGAGGGTTTCGATCGAAGTTATTTTCTTCCGCAGCGAATATTCAGAAAAACAGATGTTTACCTATTAGTTGGTGGTTAAGCTTCTAGTAAAATTTTCAATTGGGAAAGCTGTTTGAAAAATCGATTCGAGTGGAAATTTTTAGTCCAAACGTAATTAAATAACATTTTCATTCATAGTTAATATTCTGAACCTGCGTCTGCGCCAATGTCCGTTCGCTGTAGCTCCATCTTACTCTGTCTCGATACGTTCTTCGTCGCGCGATAGATTTGTAGCTGCGACGGACTCAATAATGGCAATGCGTGTGAATAGAGGTGTCGCTATTACGTAACAACCAATCAGTCTGCCTAACCACCTCTGTACAGTATATAATAACAGTATTGGGAATTACTTCAATCCAGTTATCCGGGATCAAATTCGATCGATCTGTGAGCATCGCTAAACTTCTAGTCAGTCGGTTTATCTTATAAAAATCATAGATTCTCGTCTGACTATCAAAGCTAAACTCCATTAGATACGGTCAATACCTAAATAGGTAAATATGCATTTCATGGATAGGATCAATTTCTCTCCCTGCCTAAACTGCCTGATAGAAAGTGTTTAGAAAGATTTCTTCGATCGCGAAAAGAGCAAAACTAACTCGAAGGCTCATAGAAGAATGTCGATGGTATTCTTTGCGTCACTTCGAGTCGCGTCGATCTTTTTACGACGGGTTTATTAATATAGATTTACACTCGTAGCACGGTGCCAGTCTGGAGCCTATTCCACTCCTGTCATGAAATATATTGACTTAATTGCTCTCGAGCGAGCATCTTAACGAGGGGGTCTGTCGGTCGTCTTGGTTAGTTCGTTCGTTAATTACGCCAGTAACAATTAATGTAACGACGATAGCGTTATTAGGAAAAAGCACAGCTCGATACGACCATCTCGTTAAATACCCTAACGTCGAAATCACCAATCCTGTCTATCGAAGTTCATTCCATTGGTATTCGCGCGATGAAAACTTTGAACGCAAGCTTTTCGACCTTTTTCAATTTTAATCATATTATGTGATCAATTTTTTGAATGGTCAATTCTTATTGAATTACCTTGTACAATTTTTGCATTGAATGCCTTGGGACTATAGTCAGTTATAAAAGTCAACGTTCACCATGGGATATATTAATAAGTATTTGCGATATATTTTCTTTTCACTCTCAATAACGTTAGGTTGCCAAGGAATTTTGAATGGTTGGTGTTAAGAGCAAAGTACTGTTTGATAGTGATATAAACGTTTTTATTAATCTCAATGTTTTTTCAAATTAATGAAAATAATTACAAGTGTACAGAATTGTTATCAAAAAAACGATAGGAAAAAATATTTTTAAAATGTAATTTTATAATTCCTGATAAAATAGATAATAATGGTGAACAGAATCATAAAATTAACAATTTTGACAACGTCAAACGGAAATTAAAAAACCGAAAGATTAGTATAGCATTTACAGTGACAAAAATATTTAAAAAAAAAATTGTATTCATTGAACTATAACAGGAATGATAGAAAAATAATATGAAACATCAGAGGTATATTAAAGCGTACAGAAATTGTTCCTATTGTTGTATATTGTTGTAAATATTGCAAATACTTTGCAATTACTCCATTCTTTAAAAAAAGGAGTCGATCCTTGGAAACAGAATTTTATTGAATTTGAATTTTAGATTCACTACCGGATTTCAATAAAGAAAGAATATTTGTGGATCGATACGAATAAATATACAGTTGCTTTTTATTTTTTACTAATTGATAATTTACTGTTAGTAAATATTTGCTCGTATACCAAAAAAAGTTAGCCACCATCTCTCTTCCACTTTGATAAAGATTAGAAATCTTATGATATAACTTTGTCAAAACAAAGATGACGGACGAGGACAATGCGGAGAAATGTAAAGATATATATTAATATTGGTTCTCCTTTGCAATCGTAAACAATCCAACGATAACGTGCACCCTAACTTCGGCTTTTCATATAATAATGGACGAGTGTACGTACACTTGTGCGAGCGACTGTACGCGTTGCAAGTTCGAGCAGTAAATGGAACGTGCAGAATAGAAACTGAATTATATTACAGAAGAGCCACTAGAGTCACGCAAATCCCTGATCGCCGGCTAGCTGGATAATTAATTAGCGCTTAGTCGAACAGATCAAAGTGGCGTTCGGTCGAGTCGGTCGGTCAACAGAGAGCGCAACAATTCGAAAAAAAGGACTCTTGAATTATCAGGTTGCACGGTGTGGGAGAGGGCAATCGATTCCGTTGACCTCTTTGTAACGCTCTGCCCTCGAGCGCGTTTATCCTCTTGTAAACAGTTGGCGATAATTTGGTCCCGAGGAACGATTACACCCGTTCCAGAGTAGCGACACTTCGCTTTCGCGCGAGGCTCGGCGGCGGAGAAAAGGCTCGACGCGCGGGGAATAAAAAGAACCAACCGGTGTCCTTTGCAAAAACAAAAAGAGAAAAAAAAAAGAAGAAACAGCACCGGCGCCGTATCCAGAGAGAAGCGTTTCTTTTGTCTCCCCTTGAACACGACCGCGACGTAATATCCTCGGGTAGCGTCGACTGCACGGCACAAAGAAAAAGGAGCACCGACGTTTCGCCGCCTCTCGCGGCTGAACGTTAGCGTACGCGTTCCACTCGACGCCTCGTAAATCGAACATCCGCGAAGCAAATTTACGAAAAGCACGGACCAATAGGGCCCCAAGGAAGGTCTTGGAAGCGGGTCAACGACATCGCAGTAGCGTCGATCGACTCGAACCACTCGCGAGGCGTTATCAACATTCATCCGCGGAGGCTTGCCTGCGTCCGTTCGCACCCGTCTAAAACAGCCCTCGATCGCCCTGTGTACCTGCGTTTGATCGCCTCGCACGGAAACAGATAAGGAAAACAAATATCAACAGCTTGGAACCGTCGAGGCTGGTCGCGTGTTCGGGCACCGCTGTGTCGGCACACACGCGCTCGTCTTCGATTCCCCGCCACCTAGAGGAGGCCGTCCAACCCTCCCACGATCGCGAACCAATTTCGACTGACACGCACGCACTGAGCACGGGGGAAACGACGATCGGGGGACGACGTTGCTCCGCACACTGACGCTACGCGGTGGGTCCCCCGCGAGTCGCAATCGCTGGGGTTAGTTGATACATCGTACGAGGGGTTTTCCGACTCACCCGCTCTGTGGCGCCACCGAGGAAGCCGGACGACACCCCCGTAACTATATCGATCCACCAACCCCCTGCCCTCCGATCTTCGCCACCCAACACGACCCACACGACACCGCCAGGCCACTGCACCCTGAAGGCAACGTGTCCTATCAAGCCCCGCGCGCACGTCTTGTGCCGCGTCGACCCAACTTCGTGTGTGTACCCTCTATATATGTCTGTCTGTGTGTGTGTGTCCCGACAATCGTCGAATCGCGGAACCACGAGGCGTCTCTCTCTCTGTGGCGGCTGCGGTCAAAGGTTCCTTCGGCAGAAGTGTGTCATTCGGGTGAATCGAATGTTTAGCCGATCGAGTTTGCCGGGTCAGAGCGGTCGAGAATAGAGGCAGTCTTTTTTTGTGTCACCACAGACAACTGTCCGACGACTGGTTTCGATTGCTACCTTTAGTCTATTCGCGGAACAGCGAGGACATTCGGTCTGTGGAGCAAGGTGCGAACAAAACTTTTCGCGTTTCATCCTCCCGAGGAGCAGGTCGGTTTTTCGACGAAATTGGGCTTCGAATCTAGAGCACGTTGGATTCGAACGGATCCTAAAATATTAGACGTTTTTATAGGGGGGAAAACAGCGTTGAATATTGAATTTTTAAACATGGCGGACTAACTTCGTTTTAATTTCCTGTTGGTTATGAAATTTAACATATAGAGGAAGTATTGCTTTGCATGTTTTCGATGTGCATTGTTTAAAAAATATATTAGAGGAAAGGTATGGCTGTAGGTCAAAATTTGAGAACATCCATTTTTTAAATATCAGATTATTGTGAATTTTCAAATGTAAAACGCTGGTTACAAAGTTTTGTATGCGTGTATGTACGTACGTTGGTGTACGTTTTGTTCTAATGGTGTTTCAGAAACTTGGTGCCAAACTTTAACAAGCAAAAACGTCGTAATTAGTTTCAGAGTTATGTCTTCAATTACGAGTATTTAACAATGTAAGAGTAACAACACACTAACGGAAGAAAACACTTTGTATATTTTGTTCGATGTTTTTATGAGGGAACCTGCTGAGATGTGAATCGAAATGAATGGAAATCACATCGAACGTGTGATGTAAACTAGTGCAAACAAAGAGATAATACTACACCGACGAAAGCGTCTTATAACTCCAAAACTAATGATATTTGGACCCATGTTTGGCACCAGCTCTTTGAAACATCTTGTATTATATCAGGAGTGGTTTATCGGAAAGTCATGAAATTTGGTACGGTGTATTTTTAAATTTGATGTGGATTACAGGGAATGCAGTGACATATTTTGTATGCATGACATTGTGTTGGCGTCTGCCAGAAAATTATGAAACTTAATAAAGTTGCCTCCATATACGAGATACCGATGTCATTAAAGATTTGAAGAAAAAAAGGAGTTTTTCAGTGATCTATTAACTTTAGAAAATACTGGCAGTGGTCTAACTTAATCTTGTTCTTTTCAAACCAGATCTTGTTTATAAAAACCACGTGTACAATATTAGTCGAATACGTTTATAAACTTTTAAGAAAATAGGGACAAATATTTGGGAACTTCTGCTTGGTCAGTATGCGCTATAATCGTTTTTCAAGAATTTTAGTCGGTCGGAGCTATTAAGGGGGTAAACCCCATTATGCCTTTGCCGCTGGCCTCTCGACTCTTTGTCCTACGTTTCTTCCCTGGTTGTTTGGCGTTCACTCGGCCCGTTGTTTGTTTTAAAAAGAAAAAGCGCAAGTCAGCAACATACCGTGTCTGTCTACCAGCCTCTCGAGAAAACAAAAAAGGTATCGACGACAGAGATTGCCAAGATCTTTTATCTGTATAATAATTTCGAACAACGAATAAGATCCAAGCAATTTGTTAATCGCTACGCGAGAAACTACAATTCGAATTATAAAATAATGGTTACGAATAAATACGGTGTTTTTTATTTTTCGAATAAAATATTATCTAACCGTGATCGACAACCGTCGATGCAGATTCCATTAGCAGTGAGAAGACCGACAAAGGTTGGATTACACTCGCATTAGTCCAAACGCGACCGCCTGTGTTGTTCAAGAACATCCAAGTTCACCACGATAGCGCAATATAGGAGGATAAAGAGGATGATTTTACTTTTGACTGGTCAACAGTCTTGAGAAGGATTATAGTAATCGTATTATTTGCATACTTCGTTTCGATAGAAAGTCTCACAGTAAAAAAAGCATTTGAAGATAAAAACTTAAATGCTGACAACGTTGAGACGCGCTTTAAATGCTGTCACCTTTGGTTAAGAATTATAAAGATAGTAAATAAATAATTTGAAGCATCGGTTAATGTTTATAAAGATCGAGACTTTTTGTTATTTTTTACTCACTGATAGTGCGATATAGTTCTCATCAGATTCACGTGTCACGAAGTTTCATTTTTACTTCGAAATTACTGGATCAAACCAGCTTAAATACCTCGATTGCCACTTCGTTAACGTCGAGGAATTAGCTTAATCTTACCTTGCAAAATTAGACATTAACCACGAGGTGCATTTGGAAACATCGATTTCACCCTTATTAGATCTACTGATTCACGTACAGAATAAATGTTTAAAATTCTTACTAACATCCTGTTAATTTAATGCATCAAGTATAATCAGGGGCGTAATCATTTCACGATTAATAATGAATAATTTAATCGTGTTCGATAATTAGATTCACTTTAATTAGCTCCGTTATTCAATAATTAGTAATTATAATTATTACTCGTTCGTGTCTCGATAATTGTAATTATTAATAACGTTACGGTTTCCAAACTTCGCTCTACGGTGTGTTAAACCATTATTTGCGAATTCGAGCGAACGAGTCGATTTTCCACACTCACTTCTTTCTCACTTTCCGGATGAATCGTGTTAAATGTGGAACTTCGACGCACAAATCTTCGACCGGACGTTGGACACCGGGTCGTAGATAACTTGACGTGGAAAAACATTGACGAATATTATAGGCGATTCGCGTCGGTTCGAGTGGTTCCCTTGGATTATTATATATGTCACGACTCATCACGTCTCGAGGATTGGTTATCAATGTCGTGGATCAACCTATTGGTCGCCATGACGGTCGTCCGGCGTGAGGCTCGTCGAAGGACTGTTCGTGTTAATTGAATTTGTGACATTAGACGTGGCTCGAGGATCGGGAATGAAATTCTCGTGTTTCAATCCTATTGCGTTTCGATGAAGCTCGCCAATAATAATTGATTGCAGGCCCGCTTTGCAGTGTAGCAAATTGGATTTGACGAGGATTTCGAGCCAGGCTCAACGTATGCTACGAATTCCCTGAGAATACCGTGAAATCCAATTTATCAACAAACAATGTAACAGTTGTATCCATCGGATTGATCAGTATCAAACATGGCCAAGTTCGAGAACAGGGGAAAAAGCTAAGGGTCGAAAATTTACCGTCTACGAATTTTCACTCCCATTTACTCGCATTTATCCAAACGTTTGGCCTTTTCCTTCGAATCCATTCGCTCGGTATTTCTTTTTATATTAAACTCGTATATGTAAACTATTATGTAAATATAGAAACTCAGGGTAATTGTAGGGCTGCGTTAAGACTGCTCTAACACCTCCGCGTATTTCGTAGTAGGTCATGCGTGGATCAAAAACAAGAACAATCATTCTTGTAACTCGTACCGTGGCATTTATGCGAGGCTCCGAAAGTTTTGTAAGATTTCGTAGCTTAGGTACGTTTTAACCCTTTGCACTCCGAATTATATTTGAATTTTGTTACCAGCAGCTCCCAACGCTTTTGAGTGTTTCGTTTGAAATTTATGTTAACTAAAAAGTAGGGCAGTTTAAACAAATTCAATTAAATATCTGTTTTATTTACACTATCGTTGTATTTTGTAATTTTCAAGTGTACGATATCTCTTTGGTTTGGACCTGAAAAAATGTCGAGTGGGACTCGACAAAGGAGTGCAAAGGGTTAATATCATTTTAGTCATTTTAATCGTAAGTTCCTCCTTTTTAATTGGGCGAATAGAATTAGGCTATAAATTTCGAGCGCGAATGTCTACGCGCGCGTGTACTTCGTCGATGTCGATACTGTAGAGACTCTGATTCACAGAGAGAAAATATCTTTGCTTGCCGTACACAGATGTTCCGTTTTGCGCACGAAAGGAACCATGTCCAACGTGCAAAGTACAAGTCACAGAAGGTTGATTTGGCAAAACTTGGCGGCTGAGAGGACTCTCGAGCGTCGAAGGACGTCTCAGCTATTTCAGTATAAACGTGGTATTGGAGCATCCTGTCGTTTAGACAGGCAATTTCTAAAATAGACCACTTACACAAGGCGTACCTACGAAGATTATCGCTTTATTCTTTCTTTGCTTATAGAGTCTTCTAATTAGATCGAAAATTCCGATCGAAACTACCTTCGGAATGCTACCAATGTTAATGCAACTATTACCAGCAACGCTCGCGTGTTATTTAATGTACGCGCGTTTGTGTACGTGCGCGTGCGTTTCGTGTTCATAGAGTTTATATTTATTTCGTGAAAAGAAATGCAATTATTACAGCGAACTATTATCGTAGGATTGGATTTAATCTCTTCAAATTCCATGTTGGAAACTTAGACAAAAAACTAAGAACTGCTGCAGTCAACGTGACCCTACAAATGCTCCAGGATGTGTTTAGAAATGTTGTGGAATGTTTCGAACTGGGAACTTTGGAACGTGTCCAAAAGTAGAGCAGAGTCTAACTCTACTCTTAATTGTTTAATCGAAGATTGCCATCTTAGCATTGTATGGATTTCTTGTATGTATTTGGTTCACCGTAGGTAGAGATACAT